CCAGATATTTTCAGGTGTACATGGCGTATGAGCAACATTCTTTCCTGCTTATTTTTCATACAAAAAATCTTTGCGCATTTTCATATGACCACTCAATTTTAATGTCACAAAGTGCAAGTTTGAAGTATCTCGGAATTATTGTGTTTTTTTTGGCATTTTTTTTTTTGGTTGACTGTGCCAGTCATTTTCTTAAATATGAAGGATGTTTGTTGATAGGAAGAAAATGAGCAACAACTTCAACAAAAAAAAATTCAAAAATCAACCGTAAGTTCCAGCTACTTTAAACTTCCACATCGTTATACTTAAATTAAGTGGGCTTTAAAACTGCATACTCAAAATCCTTTTGCGAAATCCAATTAAAAAGTTCGATAGTTTTACATACAGGTGAAGCTAATATGTACATATAAGCGTATTAAAAAAGTGCATTAAAATTTCTGAGGCAGATCAAAGCAGCTGAATTTTATTTTATTCAGCAGCTAATACTTTTCTAAGTAGCCTACAATAGCTTTAAAGGCAGCATGCGACAGCGTGTTATTACTGTTTCATTCAGCAACTGAAATTTTGTTAAAAAAAAACAACAACACCAAAAAAATACCATTATATTTCTACTCCTCCTAAAAAATTTCGTTACAGCATTGATATATGCAAAATTTTTTACGTTTTTCACTAGCCTTCAGACGTACATTCCGTTCAGTTTCAATGGATATCCTTAACCCAAAGTACTTTTACACGTTTATAACTTTTCCCTTTGAATCTCCAATAATGTTGTGCTTGCGCGAAGACCACATTCCGACTGAAAATAAAGAGGGGACTTGGGCTACACGCCGTTACTGTGAACGGTTTTCGTTGCTTAGAGAATCCCTTTAGCCAATTTAATTATGAAAAAGCCGTATCTAGATTTTTTCCCCATTTCGGCCGCACTCTGTAGCGTGTAGTCTCACAGACACCAATTTTCCAGGTCATTCTAAATTAACGGGTNGTTCACAAGCACGAAATGGCAATACCGCTCAACAATATTTGTATATTTGTCACTGGCATTTGTCATCAAGTGGCAAATCAGATATTTGGTCATTTGCGTAATTTTTATTTGGCTTATGTAGCAGCATTGCGTTCACACGATTTAGCCACCAGGGTTGTTTTTCATTTGCCACAAGAAGGCAAATATTTGGCTTTTCTCATAAATGACAAATGTAATTTAGCGTTCACATGATTTGTCTATGAATTTGACAAATTTTTAGCCAAATGTACAAATCGTGTGATCCCAGCTTTAGATTATATTTGTTAGTGGCTTGATGGTTCTTTTACAATGAACAGGATTTAAATAATACAAATTAAAAAAATTGTCAAAATATCTATTATATAAATTTCTTCGATCCAGCCTAAAGTACATACATAAATATTTGTTGTTTTATGTCTTATTATCAAATGGGTGACCAGGGTCACGTATGCATGGATGTGTGTGGCAGCTTCTATTGCAATGGAAAATTGCATTCTTTGTACTTACGAAGCTTGAAAGCGACAATGATGGCATCGATTGGAGGTCTTGAATAGCCAATTGACCGCCTTTATTATGATTATAATTGTATTGCTGCAACTCGGGAATGGCAGCGGTAAATGGTGATAGGGTGCCGCCGTTATCAGTTGTGGCCATTGCAGTCAATTGCCGTGCCTGCATTTGCATTTGTAATTGTGTCTTTAATGGTTGTTGTTGCTGCTGAAACTGATGCTGCTGCTGCTGCTGCTGCTGCTGCTGCTGCTGCTGCTGCTGCTGTTTCTCTTCTAACATGGGATAGTAGTGCGATGAATGCCTTCGTACTACTACATTTACGTTCGTCGGCAACAATGCCACTGAGCTGCATTGCTCTTGCTCTGTGTCGTAAAAATCCAATAGGGAATTGTGCGGTAGTGCCAAGCTAGAAGCACGTTCCGAGCTATGAACGTATGCGTATCATAATATTCATGGAATCATTCATTCGTGGTAATATCGATGTTGTTGTTTTTGTTGTTGTTATTGGTTAATGAGAGTAATTAGTAGTGCGAATTGATGGTAAATACATTAAAAATGTCCAAAAAATGGTGGGAGTTAATCATATATACATACATATGTATGCATCTATTTACACATATCCATATTAAGTTTTCTACATTGTACATTATGAGTACATACATATTTTTTTTTAAAACAACTTACCGTGATCGAGCTGCCGTCCCAACACCTCCAAAATGCTCCTCATTAACACTCAAATGCTTTTGATTCACGGATAGCGTGGCGCTCATATTTTTAAAAATCGTCATTAATAAGGTTTATAATCTGTAGAAATGGAAACAAAAAAAGATTTTAAAAGTTAGTTGGGTAGTTTTTTTTTTGTAAAAAAGGCAAAATAAAATAGCGAAAAAGGCCTTTTTCTGCCTTTTTCCACCCGAAACAGCAAAAAAGGCAAAAGAAGGTATTGGAAAAGAACGAAAACTGAAAAATAACACTGATTCAAAGGAAAAATGTTCAATTCAAATGGTCTAATTTCTATATAGAATTGCTCGCTGATTCCGAAAATCGAATTAATTTTTTATTCTATAGATAAGTTTTCCAGATATTTTCAGGTGTACATGGCGTATGAGCAACATTCTTTCCTGCTTATTTTTCATACAAAAAATCTTTGCGCATTTTCATATGACCACTCAATTTTAATGTCACAAAGTGCAAGTTTGAAGTATCTCGGAATTATTGTGTTTTTTTTGGCATTTTTTTTTTGGTTGACTGTGCCAGTCATTTTCTTAAATATGAAGGATGTTTGATGATATGAAGAAAATGAGCAACAACTTCAACAAAAAAAAAATTCAAAAATCAACCGTAAGTTCCAGCTACTTTAAACTTCCACATCGTTATACTTAAATTAAATGGGCTTTAAAACTGCATACTCAAAATTCTTTTGCGAAATCCAATTAAAAAGTTCGATAGTTTTACATACAGGTGAAGCTAATATGTACATATAAGCGTATTAAAAAAGTGCATTAAAATTTCTGAGGCAGATCAAAGCAGCTGAATTTTATTTAATTCAGCAGCTAATACTTTTCTAAGTAACCTATAATAGCTTTAAATAAAGGCAGCATGCGACAGCGTGTTATTACTGTTTCATTCAGCAACTGAAATTTTGTTAAAAAAAAAACAACAACACCAAAAAAATACCATTATATTTCTACTCCTCCTAAAAAGATTTCGTTACAGCATTGATATATGCAAATTTTTTTACGTTTTTTACTAGCCTTCAGACGTAGATTCCGTTCAGTTTTAATGGATATCCTTAACCCAAAGTACTTTTACACGTTTATAACTTTTCCCTTTGAATCTCCAATAATGTTGTGCTTGCGCAAAGACCACATTCCGACTGAAAATAGAGAGGGGACTTGGGCTACACGCCGTTACTGTGAACGGTTTTCGTTTCTTAGAGAATCCCTTTAGCCAATTTAATTATGAAAAAGCCGTATCTAGATTTTTTCCCCATTTCGGCCGCACTCTGTAGCGTGTAGTCTCACAGACACCAATTTTCCAGGTCATTCTAAATTAACGGGTTTTTCGGTTTTTAATAATAATAATATTTTGCGGCTTACACTTTTGCTAAGTCTTTGACCGAGTTTCTCTTCCAATGTGTGGTGTGCGTATTGAAGTTTTTACATAAATGAAGGCACCTACAGTTTTAAACCTCCAACGAACGGCATATGGATTTTATGAAAAGCTAGAAATACACTTGGAGGTTTGCCAAACTTTTTCTAATTTAGATGTTGCTCGGATCGAGAAACGAACCCAGACCCTACGGAGTGGTAGTAGGCATCGCTATCCACTCAGCGACAGCTTACACAGGGTAAGCTAAGAGATTTATAACTCCCTCTCGTGGAGTATCTAATCTACTGCTCAATGTTAGCCAGGAGGGTATAAGAACTTAAATTGGGTACCTGCTGCACATTGCAAACTAAGGTAGTATGAGAAATACTGCATATTTTGTTGGGCGGGTGCAGCGAATATCGGCTCCATCCAAATTATCGTCTCCATAAAGAATATGAATTTTTTAATGTTAAATTTAGTTACGATCCTCTTTTTAACCATCAGATTATTGGTTGACTTAATTTATATGTGTGCGTAGACTATTAAAACTGTATTTATGTAGAAAATATGAAAATAAATTGAACAAACGCAACTAAATACTACACGTATGTATATATGCGCCAATGTGCGTTTATACAAAAGTATTAAAATAATGGTAAGCATTTAACGATATATTACACTATTAGGAAGCCTAAAGAATGCAAATAAACAACCTTTGGTGTTTTAGTGGGTGAGAGCGTGTGACCATTGTTGCATGCCATTAAATGGTCACCATGACAGGCATTAAAATGTTTCACTATGTACATACATATGTATGTATGTATGCATGTACATACATACATTAGAGCGTAATGGTAGCAGGAATTTATGCCGCAGCTGAATAATCGGTTTTAACTAATATTCGACCGAATACAAAATAAGTCCCAAGAAGTTACGAAAAGTACTGAAAATTTCGAAAGAACCATACAGAAAATCCCAAAAAATCCTGAAAGATTCTTAAACCTATAACTAGCAAGGTGCCATTTTTTTATTTTATTTCATTTCAAAGAAATTTGAGTTAAGATAGAGAGAAGTAATTTTATGTTAACCGTCATTACCTTACCCTTCGTTTGATGCGATTCGATTTTTCTTTCTCGAGATATACCAGTTTTAATGTGCAGTACTTCGGTATTATGTTATGAAAAAATCATACCTTGATTAAAAAAAAATTGGTGCTTTTAGTGTGGTAAAACGCTTTTTTCCAAGTTTTTGGTGCTTTTTGAAAATCAAAAGATGGCAACACTGCACTGTAGTATATCGGGCTGAAGAAAAAAATCCGCCGCACAAGCCGAATGCCGAAGCGAACCCTTCGTTCAGACACTAATGTACATACGAGTATTTTGAGAAAAGGAACGAGTATGTATATCTGTAATAATGTATATGTAAATATGCTGAAATGCAAGTGCAAGAAAATTTATTTGCATAAAACATTTGCTCTTCGTTTATGTATAAATGATACTTGTAAAAACAAGCATCCCTACAGGAATATCAGCTTAGCAAGAATTAAGAATTTTTGAACCCACTATGATATTTTGTTTCATACATTTTGACTTCTCTATGCATAGCTTCTCTGTAATGAATTCTTTCTATAAAGAATATAAGAAAATGCGTGACACCGTCAGTAAAAAATTACCAAAAATCAAAGGTAAGTCCCAGTTTTTTAAACTTGCATATTATTTGACTAAAATTTAACGAGCTACAAAACTGCATACCTATTTTGTATACAAAGTCTGAAATTCGGGCTTACATGATTTTTAAAAAAATTAAAAAAAAATATAATAAACATTACATAACCAAACGAAAAATGGTCAAAAGTTGTTAAAATGTCGGTTCCGCATTTATTTTCGCACCACTGTACATACATCCATATGACCTACATATGTATGTATGTGTATGCCGCTTGGACTATCCCACGCTTGTGTACTTGTGCTTGCCATGGGACAACAGGATAGCAGATAACAATAGATAAATTTATTGAATCCGTAAAATTACGGGGCAAACTGACAATGTCAGCTGTGTCACCAACAACCAATTGTATATGTATTCACAATTTAGCTTTCACCAACGTGGTTTAACCGTCGTTCATCTGCACCCAGGCATATTTACTTCTTAGCTACATAAATATGCGAACACATGGGCAAATGTGCTACTACTCTGCAGTGTACATATATCTATAAATGTGTGTGATAGAAACATCCCTGCAGGGAGAGCTACTAGTTGTGAACTAGAATTCTATTAGTTTGCTTTTCAGCCCAACTAGTTCAGGTTCTATCCTTTTTCAATATTGGCGACTGGTATTTTTAACATGGCGATGTCCTACAAGATGTAAATTTTCAGGCTATGCATCAGCATCTACTAGTAGCATCATACCAGTTGATGCGATAGTCTGCCAAGTCATCCCGCGTGAAAATCATAAGTATTCCATTTTGCTCGCAGCACTCCAACAGTCGCATTGGACAACAGAGCAACCCACTGACGTGGTATTCCTGAGGTCCAAGGTTCAATTCCAGGCACAGAGGAATTTTTTTTTTATTATTTTCCTGTTTATTTTATTTTTTTTTTTTACTTTTTATTTAGGGTTTTTATTGTAATTTTTAAAGTTAATTAAAAAAAAATTGTTAATTATTTCTTTTTATATAGCACAAGTTTTTTTCTATATGTATGTACATATGTTTATTTCGCAATGGCTCACACTAGTTAATGAACTAGAATTTTTACTGGCTGGTTTGGCTTTTTCCAGCAGGGATATCCCATACGGTATGTATGTGTGTATGCATGTACTTTTAGTTGTATAGTATTTGCGTGTGGTGCACACTAATGGATTTGATAAGTGCACATAACTCTACATGACTCCGTTACCACAATTCACTTTGAAACGCATACAAATGCGACAAGGTAGGTTTTTTGGTGATAAGTATGTACATTAGGGTGCTCCAAAAATGCACGTGAAAAATTAAAGTCGGAATTTTAATGCTCTTGCCCCCTAAGATTGTTCTATAGCGCAAAAACATATCCCTGTTTTTTTTTATTTCGAAATCGAAAATTATTTAGAGGTCGTTCAAAGCACTCGAAAGTTTTCCATGTATTTTATATGAGAAAAAAAAAGATTTTGGAAATGGTATAGAATTCTAAAAATCTGAAAAGTTGAAAATTTTTATGAAAATTTGCTGAATTTACGCAAGTTCTGCACAAAGTTTAGGAATGATTTTATGTTTTCTGTTGTTGAATGAACCATATTTTTATACAAAATTGGCGGAAAAATATTAGAGTAAAAATTGTTGCATATATTGTGAAAAATTTGCTGTGCCAATACTTTGTTCCGGCAGTGTATATATTTAGCCAGTTTCATGTATGTAGCAATTTAAGAGAAAAATAATAAAAAAAA